ATTTCAACGGAAACTGTGAATCGAGGAAATAAATTTGGAGGATAAATGTAGCGTTTTATAAGTGGTTTCTCACAGCATGTCATGTACGAACCTGATCACTAGCGTCGTGTTAAACTACTTGTTAACATGTACACAATATGTACATGTATATATTGTGTACATGTATATATTGTGAACATGTATATATTGTGTACAGGTATATATTGTGTACACAATATATACCTGTACACAATATATACATGTATATATTGTGTACATATATATATTGTGAACATGTATATATTGTGTACAGGGATATATTGTGTACATGTATATATCGTGAACATGTATATATTGTGTACAGGTATATATTGTGTACATGTATATATTGAATGTTTCAAACAAATCAAATAGTTAATTTGGTTATTTGTTTTGGTTTTATTTCAACATCCAAGTGTGCCCATTTATATCTAAATTTAAAGGGAATGTCAACGCAACTACCAAACTGACTTGCCATTCAAAAACCTGACTTTTCTGACACCCTGTTTAATCTGACCAAAACATTCACTCCCTCATGTTGTTGGATTAGAAAGGTTTCACTGTACCTGTAATGCTCCTCCCTTTATTAACACAACCCTTATTAATAATATATATCAAGGTCCTTATATATTTTAACAGCAAAACTATATTCCTTCCTGTTCTTCCCTCAATAGACTGGTACTTAAACACCTAATTACAATATACTGGTCTAAACCTAATTACAATATACTGGTCTAAACCTAATTACAATATACTGGTTCTTCCTAACCTAATTACAATATACTGGTCTAAACCTAATTACAATTTACTGGTCTAAACCTAATTACAATATACTGGTCTAAACCTATTAACAATATACTGGTACTTCCTAACCTAATTACAATATACTGGTCTAAACCTAATTACAATATACTGGTCTAAACCTAATTACAATATACTGGCCAAACCTATTAACAATATACTGATATTTCCTGACCTAATTACAATATACTGGTCTAAACCAATTACAATGTATTATTACTTCCAAACCTAATAACAATATACTGGTCTAAACCTAATTACAATATACTGGTCTAAACCTAATTATGATATACTGGTACTTCCAAACCTAATAACAATATACTGGTCTAAACCTAATAACAATATACTGGTCTAAACCTAATAACAATATACTGGTCTAAACATAATTACAATATACTGGTCCAAACCTATTAACAATATACTGGTCTAAACCTAATAACAATATACTGGTACTTCATAATCTAATTACAATATACTGGTACTTCCAAACCTAATACCAATATACTGGTCTAAACCTAATTACAATATACTGGTACTTCAAAACCTAATGACAATATACTGGTACTTCCAAAACTAATACCAATATACTGGTACTTCCAAAACTAATACCAATATACTGGTCTAAACCTAATTACAATATACTGGTCTAAACCTAATTACAATATACTGGTCCAAACCTAATAACTATATACTGGTCTAAACCTAATTAAAATATACTGGTCTAAACCTAATTACAATATACTGGTCTAAACCAAATTACAATATACTGGTACTTCCAAATCTAATTACAATATACTGGTACTTCCAAACCTAATTACAATATACTGGTCTAAACCTAATTACAACATACTGGTACTTCCAAACCTAATTACAATACACTTGTCTAAACCTAATTATAATATACTGGTACATGTACTTCCAAACCTCATTCCAATATACTGGTCTAAACCTAATTATAATATACTGGTACTTCCAAACCTAATTACACTATACTGGTCTAAACCTAATTACAATATACTGGTACTTCCAAACCTCATACAACATACTGGTCTTAACCTTATAATAATATACTGGTACTTCCAAACCTAATTAAAATATACTGGTCTAAACCTAATTACAATAAACTGGTACCTCCAAACCTAATGACAATATACTGGTACTTCCAAACCTAATTACAATATACTGGTACTTCAAAACCTAATTACAATATACTGGTACTTCCAAACCTAATTACAATATACTGGTCTAAACCTTATTACAATATACTGGTACTTCCAAACCTAATAACAATATACTGGTCTAAACCTTATGACAATATACTGGTCTAAACCTAATTACAATATACTGGTCTAAACCTAATTATAATATACTGGTCTAAACCTAATTACAATATACTGGTACTTCCAAACCTAATTACAATGTACCGGTCTAAAACTCATTATAATAAACTGGTCTAAACCTGACAATATACTGGTCTAAACCTAATTACAATATACTGGTACTTCCAAAACCTAATTACAATATACTGGTATAAACCTATTTACAATATACTGGTACTTCCAAACCCAATTGCAATATACTGGTCTAAACCTAATTACAATATACTGGTCTAAACCTTACTACAATAAACTGGTATAAACCAAATTACAATATACTGGTACTTTCAAAACTAATTACAATATACTGGTACTTCCAAACCTAATTACAATATACTGGTACTTCTAAACCTAATTACAATAAACTGGTTCTTCCAAACCTAATTACAATATACTGGTACTTCCAAACCTAATTACAATACACTGGTCTAAACCTAATTACAATATACTGATACTTCCAAACCTAATTACAATATACTGGTCTAAACCTAATTACAATATACGGGTTTAACCTAGTTACAATATACTGGTCTAAACCTAATTACAATATACTGGTCTTAACTTATTACAATATACTGGTACTTCCAAACCTAATTACAATATACTGGTCTAAACCTAACTAGAACACTGACAGGTCAGTAAGGGCCCCGTCCTGTGGCAATATATCCCCTAAAAATCATCAAGAAGCAATCGGTTCAGATAACTGACCTTGACGTTTGACATTTGGACTTCAAATAGAATCGCAAGGAAGCAAATTATACATTTTACATGTACTATAATGTGAGTCTTGTTTCCTTCCACCTCCATATTTGCTGGGCTAACAGAAATGTACATACTGGTGCAATACTTATTTGTTAGCTTTGATTTTTTATTTCACCTTATATACCTCCTACATCAAGAGCCAGGGTCAAAGTCAGTGATGAAATGACTTATTCTTTAATTCCGACCAACTTTGCTTCTTGATATCATAACAAAATGTTCATCAGTGACCTTGACCCTTTGGACCCCGTAACCTGGACCTAAGGTCAGTTGACCCTGTGTTGAGTTCTGAACAACATTGCTTCAAAATGTCATAACAAAATGTTCATCAGGGAAAAGGTACAAAATTTAACCTTGACCCCTGACCCAATGACCTTGACCGTTGGTCAGCTGACTCCTTGTTTAATTCTGATCAACTTTGCTTCATAATGTCATAACAAAATGTTCATCAGTGAAAAGATGCAAATTTGACCTTGACCCCTGACCCGATGACCTTGACCTTTGGTCAGTTGATTCCTGGTTTAATTATGATTAACTTTGCTTCATGATGTCTTAACAAAATGTTCATCAGTGAAAAGATGTAAAATTTGACCTTGACCTGTGAACCTAATGACCTTGACCTTTGACCTTGATTTTTTACCTCAATGTGTATTTTTGTGAACTGAAAATCTTGACCAAGTTTCGTGTACATTGGTCAATAAATACCAAAGTTATCAGCCAGGAACAAAATTTGTGGACGGACAGACAGACAGACAGACAGAGTGATTACTATAGGGCACCCATATCTCCGATACGGGGCCCTTATTACAATATACTGGTACTTCCAAACCTAATTACAATATACTGGTCTTAACCTAATTACAATATACTGGTACTTCCGAACCTAATTACAATATACTGGTCTAAACCTAATTACAATATACTGGTACTTTCAAACCTAATTACAATATACTGGTCTAAACCTAATTACGATATACTGGTCTAAACCTTATTACAATATACTGGTACTTCCAAACCTAATTACAATATACTGGTCTAAACCTAATTACAATATACTTGTACTTCAAAACCTAATTACAATATACTGGTTTAAACCTAATTACAATATACTGGTACTTCCAAACCTAATTACAATATACTGGTCTAAACCTAATTACACTATACTGGTACTTCCAAACCTAATTACACTATACTGGTACTTCCAAACCTAATTACAATATACTGGTACTTCCAAACCTAATTACAATATACTGGTACTTCCAAACCTAATTACAATATAATGGTACTTCCAAACCTAATTACAATATACTGGTCTAAACCTAATTACAATATACTGGTACCTCCTAACCTAATTACAATATACTGGTACTTCCAAACCTAATTACAATATACTGGTACTTCCAAACCTTATTACAATATACTTGTACTTCCAAACCTAATTACAATATACTGGTCTAAACCTAATTACAATATACTGGTACTTCCAAACCTAATTTCAATATACTGGTACTTCCAAACCTAATTACAATATACTGTTACTTCCAAACCTAATTAAAATATACTGGTCTAAACCTAATTACAATATACTGGTACTTCCAAACCTAATTACAATATACTGGTACTTCCATAATCCAGAGTAATAATGTAATTTAATAATAATTATCCTAAATTAAATCCACAAATACCTGGTCAATCACATTTAAGAAAGATGCATAGTACATTGTGTCTGCTATAATATTCATTTCATGAAATCCAATCCTAACAAATACATTTGTTTAGGACCAATGTGCAGTCACAAAATTTTGCATTCACAAAAATAAATTGAGTGCATGTGACTTAAAATTATAAAAAAATATTATGCAACAGCTCTTCTAATTCCTGATCATGGCTTTACTTACCAATCATCACAGTATTCCTGATCATGGCTTTACTTACCAATCTTAACAGTACTCCTGATCATGGCTTTACTTACCAATCATTACAGTATTCCTGATCATGGCTTTACTTACCAATCATCACAGTATTCCTGATCATGGCTTTACTTACCAATCATCACAGATGTATTTCAACCAGAAGGATAATGTATATCCTTTGTCTTTGACATCAGCAACAGGCTTTGAAAAGCTACAATTTGTCGAGTTCTTGTCAATGATGAGAACTCCATGGTCGGTAGGTACTGGTGTAACTTCATTCACATGTACAGAGGTTGAGCATCCTGTGGAGCCAGAGTCTAAATCCTTTAAGATCTCACTATGGGTTGGCCAGTTGGTACGAGTAGTACAGTAGTTACAACTATAGTTGGTTCCACTTGATTGGCAAGTCGAAGAAGCCGTGACAACAGTACTAAGTGGTAAAGACTCTGTTGTGTTTGGAGGAAAATATAAATCAGTAAGTCCTCTGATATTATGCCACAAAGTGGCAACAATCAAAAACCAAAATAATACAGATTTGTATTGCATCTTCATGTCAATCTCAAATATCCACAGCTTTTTATTTGTTTATCGATAATTGCATATCCTGTAGGTACATAAGGGTAACCTTCAAATATACAATGACTGTATCTACTTCACTTGTCGATGTTCGTGTAGACGTAGATCAGAGAATGAATCAAGAGCAACGTGCATCCGTTGCTTCCTGAAAAAGAAATAAGGTAAACATTATTCACTATTAGAAAGAAAAAAAACATAACATCAATTAAGGTACATAAAAATGATTTTTTTGGTCAAAGATTGATAGCTAAAATGTTGACCTTGATATTTAATTATCTGATCCAAAAAGATCTAGACCTTTTGCTTATTCAGAGATTAGATAATTCAAAGGTTTATATACATTTGAACATATATGACCTTGAACACTTTCACATATGTTCAAATATGGTCAAGGTCATTAACAAACTTTATCCCAGCATGCTACTGGCCACATATGATCATATTTGACTCCTGTGAAAGTAGGTAAATGTCATTTATTTGAGGATAAATTATGGCACCCTTTTCAATGTACATGTGCCTACTGAGCAAAAATCATTGCTTTAGGCCTCTTGGTAATTCAGAAAAAGTATGTTTGTTTAAAAGTTTTTAACACATTTGACACTATTGTGATCTTGAAGTATGTTAAGGTTATTTAGGAATAGGTTAGGAAACTTTAAAGCACTCTGTCCCATGTGGCTTAACTGGCCAAATAGTATGGTTCTAGGTCCTCAAGTTCTTAAGGAGAAGGTATTCAAAGAAAAAGTTAACAGATGACAAAAGACCAACGGATAGCAACAGATGACGGACAAGACATCACACCATAAGCTCAGCTGGCATTTCATACCAGGTGAGCTAAAAAATGGATAAACAGCAAAAATTAGTTTGTATTTTAAAATCAATGATTTTATAATATGAAAGTGAGAAAAAATGAACTCAAAACTTTAAAAAGTTGACTCGAATCTAGAAAAGGTTGACTTCTGACTTGAAAAAATTGCCCTGAAACTAAGAAACGTTGACTCGAAAATAAAAAAAAAAGATTACTTGAAACTCGAAAATGTTGATGCTAAATTCAAGAAATGATAACTCAAAACTTGAAAAATGTTAACTCAGGTGCTAGATAGTTTTATCACAAGACCTCCGCTCTGACTGTAGGTCATGGCCGGGTCACAGAAAGGACATGCATCCAGCCAATTAGTAATACGGATCTAGAGATCAAGATTATCTCTCATCTCAGCCAGCCTAGCATTCTGACCTCCTGTAACCGCCCTGTTCTGACAACAACCTAGCAAACAAAGTCCCCGCTTTACCTAATTTAAATATGCCATATTGGGTTTTGGTTTTTTCCTACTTTACTTTTAAGGTAATTAGGACCTAGCATATGGTCTTTGTGCTAACAGTTCTAGCCAACGGCCCAGTTGTTTCCTGATGGTCAAGCCATCCTCCTGACCCGAACCAACACCTTAATTTTTATTGGTTGCTTGTCACTCTAACATATACTCCCTTGTTGACCATTGCTCAACAGAAACAGCTTCACTCTTCAACATTTCGGCCCATGGCAGTAAAATTGCATCATGTAGTAACATGTAATACAGATAATTAATGTTGCAAATCTGCTGCTTCATGTATACAACCAAAATTGTTCAAGCCAACTCTAGAACCTAGGGTTATAGCTAAACTGTATACATCAGCTTTATATGGCCAAGGATAAGACATTTAGTTCAAGCCAACTCTAGAACCTAGAGTTATAGCTAAACTGTATACATCAACTATATATGGCCAAGGATAAGACATTTAGTTCAAACTTTTGGATATTTTCTATGAGCTTCAGGTCAGTCACTGTCTTCCAAGTCATGTTCAAGAAGAGTTGTTGGTCACAGCTTTTCAGCACTCTGCTCTTCAGCACTATGGGGTCAATAGCTTATCAGCTATTTTCCATCAGGTCCAAGGGAGGTACTGCTACAGGTGATAAGCACCCCTTATCTACAGACTTGTCAATAATTTATGTGAATTTATCATACATTGTTTGGTATTTGTAGTGTAAATCCTCTATATATATATGCTGTGTGTAGTACTAGTATAAATGTATATACTTTTTAAGGTCAATATCTAAGCAATAGTAAATGTATGAATCAATTATTTTTCTGTAGTGTCTTAAAAAAAGAGGCCCAGAGGGCTTGTATCGCTGACCTGAATATGTTTAAAATAATTGGTATGAAGTAAAGATATAACACTCCATGGTAGGTGCTGTAAGTACATATGAAATTTCAGAAAGATCCATCCAGTACTTGAGATATACATTTATCTGTAGCTAGAACAAACTTCAAACAGAGCCTTCCCCTCCCTCCCTATATATATGCCCCTAGGGGGGGTCATACCCACCGTTTATAAAAAATTGGTTCCCCTTTACCCAAGGATGCTCCACACCAAAATTGGTTTCAGACAGGATTCAGATTGTCTGACCAAATTTGGTCAAAATCTGCTCAGTCGTTCATGACTAGTAATGATATTTAGGAAAAGTTGACGGACGAAGGACACCCCGTCATGGCATAAGCTCACCGGTCCGTCGGACCATGGCCAGCTGAGCTAAAAACTAGTATTTTACTTTTTTGGGAAGAGGCAAGAATTCTTATCAATTTTCTAGGGATCGACTGATGAAATACTACAGTATTTTAAATTTCTGGAGAGTTTCGTACTTGCCAAATTTTTGAAATTTCCATGGGGGAGATTTACTCATGCTCAAAATTATAACATAATTAAAATGTGTGTATACACCCCATAGAGACAAAATAGCCCCTTAAAAGGACATGTTTCGAGTTGTTCTCTCAGATGAAATCATTAGATCTTAGAATATAGGAACAGTTAAGCAAATTGAGTCCAAAATTGGGAGTCAGCTTCCTCCTAAATAGGGAGGGCTGGCATGAATGGAGTCTAGGAATAGGAATATTCTTATGTATACTTTTTTACTGCAGTAGTTTATTCAAATTGTAGAAAGGCAAACTTTGTTTCTTTTAATCAAGACAAATCTGGCTTTAGATCTTAAATGAACAGCCACAACACCTGTCAAAATCAAGCTGTTGCTCATACAGGAAATTTGAACTGCAAATAAAAATTCTCTGATTAATTAATTATTACAAAAAATGTAACAAAATGATCATGTGTAACATAATCCCTTTATTTCTAACAAAGGAGTAGTCTGACAAATATTTCAGACCTATTTGTCTTGTTGGGCCCCACCCCTTTTCTCTAAGTTAAGGGTCTATATTCTTAATTTAATATTTTAATTAGATATAAATCTCTTCTACCATATTGCAGAGGTAGGCATAATACTATTGATTATAACAACAATGAGCCCCATTAGGCACAAGGATGCTAAAGGCAGAATTAGGTTAAAATCCATATATTTACATTTGCATGGAATTGTCACTATATATAGCCTCTTTGAAAGCTGTGTCGTTGATGGGACTTTAATTACCATGCATCACGAGACAAAATTCTTAGCGTATTAATATACAACACTGACCGGAACTACAATATCCAGTATAAATAAACATGACGGCTGCTGAAATATCGCTGGGCATTGTGAGATTTGACAATGTCATTGTAAATTTATGTGCAAAATAAAAAATGAAATAAAAAACACTTTTATTACAACGAAAACAAGACCAAGGTCTGCAATATCGTACAAAACGCACATCGGTTGAAATCACCAATGCCGGCAATGGAAACAATTTTAACACTCATGCAATTTATCAGAAATATCGTCTGTTACACTGCACTGATCAACAGGGGTTCGTTACAAATGCCTGAAATACACATATTCTATAGACCTACTGACACATATGTTACAGACCTACTGATATGAGTCACAGCACATATAAATATTTCAGACATTTTGTTATGAACCTCAACCTGTGCTCCGTCGCAAGATCACTCACTTCAAACGCTATCAGTTTCATGCGTCTCGAATCCACGGTTCCTGATTTCTGACAACATGTCAAATAACGAGGCCGTTATAGAATCTACCGACTGTGGTCAGGTTCCCATACAATCAACAAATAAATTCACGCCTGGATTCTTCACAAAATTGGGCGAAGAGAAAAGTTTGAATTAACTTCCAAAAATAACTCCCTTGTGGAGGGCAAGGTCGGATTTACGGTGTTCACTGTATTTGTCCATGCGTGAAATTTGTTCCGGGGAAAAATCGAAACAATTTCAAATCTAACTTTCAGCTCAGAGTTCTATTGATAAACTTAAATCACCCTATAGACATATCATACNGCCAATCAGCACGCGACAATACGCTGTTCAAACTATTGAACGAAATTGTGTGGACTGTCGATAAGGCGGGCATTTTTAATTCTAAATATAAATTATAAGTTAAAAAAGAACATAAGAGGCAGAGAAAACGTAAATATAAGTATTGAACTGTTTTTGTATGGTATTTATGATCTATTTGAATGACACAGCTTTGCAAGCAAACAACTCATAATGCGCTAATGCAATACCATACAAAAGCAGTTCAATGCTTAATTACTCCTACAGAAGGTGAAGGATTTCAAATCTCAAATTACGTTAATTGATACAGCAGTTGGAGCAGGTGCTCCCTTTCTTGGTCATTTGGGTTTAGGGAAGTATTCAATATTTTATGGTTCACTTCCTCAATCTACACTGCCATGACAAGAGCTAGATACATGTAGATTGTTACACACTGTAGCTACAGATAACACATTGTCAGAAATATACTGTCGCTAGGTTACAGATTGCAAGGATTCAGAAAACGTTACAAATTGTGGGAACTAGCTACATGTACATATAGGTTACACTTTGTGAGACTAGCTTTATATAGTTTACACATTTTAAGAACTAGCTATATATAGGTTACACATATTCAGAACTAGCTATATATAGGTTACACATTGTAAGAACTAGCTATATATAGGTTACACATTGTCAGAACTAGATACATATAGGTTACACATTGTCAGAACTAGATATATATACGTTACACATTGTCAGAACTAGCTATATATATGTTACACATTGTCAGAACTAGCTAGGTTACACATTGTCAGAACTAAGCTATATATAGGTTACACATTGTCAGAACTAGATACATATAGGTTACACATTGTCAGAACTAGCAGTATATAGGTTACACATTGTAAG